CCTCGGCGTTGCTCCCGCGCCTCGCTCAGCCTGTGAGCGGGAGCCGGTCTGTACGTGGGATCCGAACCCTTGGACGGGAGCGCCGCCGCGCTTCCCAAGCGGCGCACTATCCAGTGCGCCACCAGGCCGGCCCCCAAACCTTTCAACTCTTAGATTTTTTTCCGGTGTTTTTCTTTCTATTTTTAAATAATGTGCTCGTACTTCTGTTTCCTAATTCCCCATCCCCCTTCTCCAGCCTCTTCCTCCTCGACTCATTAGGGTCTCAGTGTTCTGTTGTCATTGTTTACATCATGACTCTGCATATCTTGTCTTTGTTACTCATAAGCCAAATACTGCACTGTGATTATTTTCTTTCTTGAACAGAGTTTGTTTTTTTCTTAGATTTAATAATATCCTCATTTTCTTTTTTCTTTGTTTTCTGCGTAAACATCCCTAATTTTTCCAAATGCAAGTGTCAGGGGTTATTTTTTTCCCAATAATTCAAATGTTTTTGATAATCTCTGAGTTACTTTTTTGAAAAAATTGACTCCTGCTGTGATCTGCTTCAGTTGCTTGTTCCGGAACTTTCCTTTGCCACTTTTCTTGTTTCCTAGTTTCCATCTCTTCCTCTTTCTGGCTTTCTCCCTTGTTTGGCTGGAGCAGATCCTCCAGTAGCTTCCTGGTGCCTCCTAGTGCTGAGCCTTTCTGGAGGTTTCCCATTGGTCTCCCCTCGCAGGCTTCTGCTCTTGGTGCTGATGCACGAGGCACCTCCTTGCAAAATCCATTGTTATGTCTTCCAATGTGTTGTTGAAATGTCTTGTCTGTTGATGTCTTTTCAGATCTCTTTTCCTTTGACTCTTTTACTGTCATTTTAATAGTGTTTCAGGAGGGAGAGAAGGAGGTGGTGATGATAATATTAGTAATAATTAATAGCTGCTAGCAAATATTGAGTCTTGCTGGGACAGGCACTGTTATAATGGTTTTATTTGAGTTAACTCATTTGATTCTCAAAATAACCTTATGAGGTAGGTACTGCTATTAGTCCCAGAGACGTTAAGTAACGTGTCAAAGGTCACACAGCAAATAAGTGCCTGGGCTAGTATTCAGACCAGCCAGCCAGGCTCCAGAGTCTGTGTTCTTGGCCACTGTGCTCTGTGGCCTTTCTGAATGTATGAGGGCTAGAGTCCCTCAACGGATTTTTTTTTTTTTTTTGATAGTGAACCTCTTTTAATCTGTACTATTAAAAAATCTTTCTATTTTTGTAAGTAACATATGCACATTAAATATAATTGTACATTTTTGTGTACTTGTCCCATTTTCTTAGGAAAAATCTCTAGGAGTAAAATTGCTGGGCAAACATATTCATTCCTTTTAAGGCTTCTGAAATGCCTTAATTGACCTCCAGAAAGACTGTGCCACTCCCAACAGACTTACTTTTAAGTTTAAAGTTGTTTCTACATTTAGCATATTACAGTTTTTAATTTCTCTTTCTCTGAACTACTTAAATGAACACTCATTCATTCATTCCCTTAGTCACTCCCTTACTAATAGCTCCTGGTGTTTGCCCCAAATTATTACAGCAATGGTTTGGGGGTGGGGGTGGGGGTGGGGGTGGGTGGGGATAAAGAAGGCAAAGTACTCCTGTTTATGGAACTTGTCACCAGATCTTTTGATTCTGTCCCTCCATCTCTGTTTTTACTGTCAGCCCCTTGGTTTGGACACTTATCCCTTCTGTCCTGGGCTCTTGCAGTTTTCTCCAGTGCAATTTAGCCTGGGCATTGTTGCTAGACTGATTTTCTGAAATCAGTACCCTCAATAGCCCCCTCCTCTGAAATCCTGGATGGCTCCCTGTTGTTTACGGAATAATGTTCAAACCTTGGCTTAGGCTTAGGCTTAGGTTTTAGGTTTTTAGTCAACCCACTCTAAACCCTTAGCTTCTTCTTCTTCCATACACAGCTCCCTGTTCCATTGGTTTGGTGAAGACTCTTGGTTTCAAGTGCCTGGAACCCAGCTCAAACTAGCTTTGTCAAAAACACAATAGTGACTCACTAATTCTGTAGCCCAAGGACAGCACTAGTTGCAGGTGTGGCTGGCTCCAGGGGCCAAGTTGACATTATCAGAACTCTGTCTTGGCTCTCTTCCTCTCTGGTGTGGCTCACTCTCAGGCTGGTCCATCCGTGTGGTGACCCCAGGCAATACCAGGCTCACGTCCCCCGACTGCAGGTTCAGAAGAGAAGAGGAGCTTTCCTTCTGTGCTGCTCAGTGAGTCTCAGGACTGCATCTCATTGGAATGATTGGGCTGTGCGCTTGGTCCTGAACCAATACAGGCCAAGTGCAAACAACGCATGGGTTCTTTTCCTCCGAGGCCTCCTTTCCCACTGCTTGGCATTTGCTCACACTGGCGTTCCACCAGGATGCAGTTCCCCTTTCTCTCTGTTTTTGAAATCCCACCTGTTCTTCGTGGCCACGTTGTGGTGAGTCCTGTCCTCACTATCTCAGCCTGCAGTGGCCTTCTTCTCTCCTCTGTCTGTAGGACTCCTTATTGTCTTGTTTTTTTTCTGCTTATGTACCCATCGTCCATCATGTGAAGGATGTGGAGAGGGCTGGGCTGGAGGGGCTAGCTGAGGCATTTAAAGGGGAAGGAGTGCAGGAAGTTCACTGTGGCATCCATGCTGTGGGGGAGCATGGTGAGCTGAGCCCCAGAGGCAGCGGGGGCAGCAGGGCTATGTGTGTAAACTCTGGAGTCACTCATGCTTCTTGGTGCCAACCCAACCCAGCTCCACCGATCAAACGCCTGTGGTCTTGAGCAAGTTCCTGGCCCTCTCAAAGCCTTGGTTTCCTTCTGTAACACAGGCATGAATCCACTGCCCACCTCAGGGGCTGCTTGAAGATGAAGCTTGGAACAGTGCCCAAAGCATTATAGACATGCAAAAATGTCACTGTCTTCTCTTTCCTCCAGAAGTGGTCATGAATGAGAGAAGGGTGGGAAGAAAGCTTCAGCCTGGCTTGTTTCTGAGACCTGCTCCAGGTCTCTGGTTCTTGCTGCAGGTCGAGTTTCCTGCTGTGGGCTGTGGAGTGAGCAGCTCTCCTCTGCAGCCCCGTGTTTGTATCCACGTTTTAAGTTCTTACAAGGAACCTCTGTAAGCTAGGATTGTTCGCAGCACAGCCACAGCTGCAAAACTCTTAGCGCTTACCACATCCCAGCTGTTCGATGGATAGTAGCTCATTTAATCTTCTCAGTAACATCTGGACATAGGCACTATTGTTTCCTGTTTTAAGAATCTTCATGAGACTTGTCAAGGTGATATCTCTAGTAGTTAAGGGAGCTGGGATTCGAAGCCAGGCAGACTTGTTCAGATCTATGCCTTTAACCTCTGTGCTTCTAATAACCCCACAGAATGCTGGGGAAAGCAGCTTTCATTCGAATTTCAGTGCCTGTGTCTGTTGTAGCAGTTCCGTGTGGCTCTCCATCTGTGGGAGCTGCCTCCTGGGGGATTTTGCTGACTGGAGCCTACTGATTTCACCACTTCTTTTGAGCTGACCTTTGGTCACTTGGACCTCAATGGTCCAGCCTGTGTGGCCATGCACGTCTGCATGTGTCTTAGAGGCAGCAGTGACTTCCTGCTGTGAAGCCAGAAAGTAGGGGCAGGGGAATGATTCTCACCTGGCAGAATCCCCTCACTTTTTATATTTTCTAAGTGTTAGAGCCTTAGGAGTGTGGATGTCTGACTGCTCCTACTTAGCAAGAGCTGTTTTCCAAGGTCACTTCTAGAATGATCAGGTTTAGTACCAGTGTCTTATCTGATTTCTGGAACAAAGGGAGTACAGTGTTACAGTGCCTCTTTTGTTTTCAGACGCCAGAGGTTGTAACAAGTCAGGATCAGAGGCAAAATATTCATGAAGCAGATACTTTAAAAAGTAATATGGGGGATGGAGATTGGAGGAAAAAGTTGGAAATGATAGTTTCGTTAACATTACATATCAAATCATGAATGATATTGTATATGTATTTTAATATGGGCTGAGTGGTTTTGTATGCCAAGCAACCTGTTTATATGAGTAACTAAAATTTTTCTTGAACTATTTCTGCTCCTGTTGTAGCACAGAATGGCGTTTCCTGTACCATTCGTTCTGTAGTTTCATAATCTCAAGCGCTAGAGAAGGGGTAGAGGAGCAGACGTCTCTCCTCGTGATGCACTAGAGCAAAGGCACCTGCTCATGCCGCTGGTGGTGGAAGCAGGGGTGGACCTAGGCCACCGATTCCAAAATTCATTTTTTTCCTTCTATACAGAGGAGATGGATTCCCTTGCAAATTCCAGAGACAGGAAGTTGGTGGATGCTCCTTTGACCTCTTAAGGATCAGGAAGCTGGCCTTCAGTGTCATGTGGCATTCTGGGTTGTTCTTTCTCCAAGGAGGTGCTGAGTGTTAGTCCAGTGAGCCTCGTGTCTGACATTTTCTACCTCAGCACCCATCTTCTCAGGGAACAGAATCCAGGGCAGGAGCATGCGTTTGATGGAGCCCAGAACAGACTTTCTCTGCCCTAATGTATTAGAAGCATTAAACAGCCCACCCCAAAGCAGGTCATTAGGAAGCCTTGTACCTTCATGGTTTGAGAGCCTGGGTCCTAGAGTCAGAAAGCCTGAGTTCTAGTTCTGACCCATCACTTTCTACTCTGGTGACCTTGGGCAAGGAACATGACCTTTCCATGCCTTAGTTGGCTCAGCTGAAAAATGGGAAGGATAATAGCTCCTCCCTGCTAAGATTGTTGAAAACTAAGTGAACGATTGGGTGTAATATAGTGGGTACCATGTAGTGTGAGCTGTTATTCCTGTTCTTGTTACCAATAGAACAGTAGCAGCAATAATAGTAGCATCTTACCTGTTATTTGCAGCAATTACTCGAGACACATTTCACTTCATGGTGACAACAGTGTCTTGTACCTTGGTTGAAAAATCCCAGCAGTGGATGGAGGTCTGAAAATCATTGCTCTCTCTAGTTGATGTCTTTAACTGCACCATTTGATCTTTCAGAGGCCTCAGTGTTGTCCCTGATGAAGAGGTCATTGAAATGTATGAAGGGTCCCACGTGCCCCTGGAACAGATGAGCGACTTTTACGGGAAGGTAATGAGAGCTCTTTTATTTATTTAAAGCAGCCTGTCCTTTGTCCTTCCTGAAACATGGCCTCATGGGTGTAGGAGCTTGAACTGGTACAATCTTGAAATCTCCAATTTCCTTGTCACCTGGAGATTGTGTTTTGAGAGACCCTAGATTTGAGAGAGATCAGTATGTTAAGGAGTCACCCCCAGGTTCTTTCATGATTCTTCTTTCTTAACTCCTTTCTCCCCACCTGACAAAGTTCCTTTATCCCTCCCACGTACCTACCCCTGTTTGCCACCACCTGTCCAAGTGTGTCTCCACTGTCTGGAGTAGGTCATCAGGGGCTGTCAGCGCGGCAGCTGGAGCTGCCCCTGAGGCCTGGCTACAGAATGCCCAAGGGTGATGGCTTAGGTGATGGCTTTGCCTGAAAGGAAACCTCTGCTTTTTTAACTTGGTGATTCTCTTTCCCCTCAGAATTTCTGTTTTTATTAGATTCACTCTTTTGTTTGTATTTTCAAAATGAAATGGAAGACACCCAGTCAGCCAGTAAATTTAGTAGAATAAATGGCAAGCTTTCAGAGAAAGGCCCTTTTTTAAGCTCATAGATGGGTGGTGAGGGAGTGCTCCAATTCGGGAGAGTTCAGTGGCTTTTTACGCCATTTCAGTACAATAATCTGTTTGCTGGTGTCCTGCATGTTTCGTGAGAAAGTGTGAACTGCATGTTGCACCAAGCACATGCGAGAGTGGGAAGGGAAGGTGGGTGGACTCTTTGGTGGGAATCAGGGCATTTCTGTGGCTACCCTGGTCATGCTTAGGGTGAGACGTCAGCTCTGCCATGAATAAGGAATAAGAGGAACGTTTTACTTTTTTATTATTAGAATTTTCCTTTTTTGTGGAGAGAGGGATCTAGATGTTGGCGAGCAGAATCCCCCTCAGTCAGAGTCTCCCTGCTGTCCCCAGTGCTGTGTGGCCCCGCAGCTCTGCCCCCAGGTGGGCCTCCCCTTCTAAAGCGTTCCTCCCCGTCTGCAGAGTTCTCACGGGAACACCATGAAGCAGTTCATGGACATCTTCTCCCTGCCAGAGATGACACTCCTGTCCTGCGTGAATGAATACTTCCTGCATAACAACGTCGACTATGAGCCCGTTCATCTGTACAAAGATGTTAAGGTTGTATCAACAGGGAGAGATTGCGATGCCACCCTGATTTCAGCTTTGCAGGGGAAGGAAAGGAGACGTTAGCCTCTTTCTAGGTTTGGTGTTTGAAATAGCCTCTCAGCTGGGATCTCTTTTATTTGAGGTTTAACCTTGAAGACTGTAAGATGTTACATCAGGAGAATTGGAAATCAGTTTTTTGTTTAAACGAGATGGTGCTCATGCTGTTATCTGGATATCTAATCCTTTGTGACCAAGGCCAGGGCCAGAGCACCCGGGAAAGGGATGAGTGGGGACTGATGTCCAGCCTGTGCCCAGCTTACCCTTGAGCCTGCCCACAGGGAGGGGCGTCTCTTCTTCACACACAGAGGAGGTGTGTATACCCCAGGCTGTGGGCCTGTGCTTGTGAAATTGTCCAGGGGGGCACTTGTTTTTCTTGATGACAAAGGTTCCATGTGGCTCTCTGTGGCCCTGCAAAAGCCATGCAAGAATCCAGTGGAGAGTAATAAAGATAATGCAAACATTTATATGCATGTGTACACATTTATGTTTATACATTTATAATTTTAATTTATAAAATTAAACACACTACGTGTTTATAGATTTATGTTCTTTTGAGCATTTTCAATGCTTAAAATATGTTTTTATATTATTTATTTGACATATTTACAACACATATTTATAAATATATTTACTTATATATAGTATATATTTATTTAAAATATTTTTATTTTAAAAAGGTACATATGTACCTCTAAAATATTTTCATTGTATGTTTATGACTAACTTTAGATTTTGACTGACCCCAAATCCTGGGTTTTAGGAATATAAAGGATGAATTACAGTTTCTCAACATCAGTCTGGTATTATTTGAATTAAATTGAAATATTTAGTTTCTGTTCGCCTTTTTGTGCCCACAGATACTCATCCTTAAGAATCTTTAAGAATCATTTGTAGTAACCCTTCACACTTATGAGGAGAGACATTTATTTGAAAGTTCAGTTTTTACTACAGGTGTTACTACCATGAGTAGCAAACACTTATATAGAGTTTACTGTGTCCCAGGCACTGTTATTCTGAGTGTTTTATGCATATTAACTCACCAAATCCTCACAATAATGCCTTGAGGTATGTATTGTTATTATCATCTCTTCGATAGATAAGAACATTGGTGCACAGAGAGGTTGAGTAACTTACCAAAGGTAACACAGCTAGTAAGTAGCAGAGCCTGGATTTTAAGCCAGGCAGTCTGGCTTGCATTTAACCATTGTCTTCTGCTGCTGGTGTGAAATTGAAATGGGTCTGTCCTGAAAGGTAATTGAGGTTGAGATTACAATCCAGAAGTGCCCACTCTTGACACAGAAATCTCCCATTAACAGTCTAAGGCTTGGCAACAGCCTATATCCCAGTCCCCTGCTACTAGCTCCAGAAAGTTTCCATATGCCTTCAAGAGTGCCACGTATGTAGAGGCCCTGCACATGCTACCTGCAACTGGGGCTCTGCTTTGACACCTGCCAAGCATCAGTCTGCCACACACCTGAGCCTACGAAGGAGTAACCTCCTGCTCCTCTCCTTGTTCCTGCATCTGCCATTTGGACCACTTCTCTGCCTGAGCTATAGCCTCATTGACAGTTCCTTGTCCTATTGGTAGCACCAAAGAGAGAGGGAGGATCCTGTTATCTGTCTGTCTCTGCTTCTATTCTAGGTTACAGAATCTGCTGTTGGGGTTCGGGAATGGGGAAGGGGGCAAAGATGAAAAGTGCAATTACTCCCTTTGTCCAGGTGATCTGGAATCATTTGTTCATGATACCGCATATAAATTACTGTTTATCATGTGGGAATTTATTCAGAATCATCCACACAAATTACCTCTTCCAAGTGACCTTTTTGAAAATTGCACTGGAAACTGCCACTATTACCATGGAAATGCAAGCTTTTCCCAAGGGGCTGCCTATGATAAATGGACCAGAATTTAGATTTTGTTCAGTGCTTAGATTGCCAGACTTCTGAAGACAGAAGTTATCACGAATGCCATTTCCCTGTGCTACCTACTCAGACTATCTCAATTACACTTTCACTGATTAAAAATGTATCTTTTGACAGGATTCAATTCGAGACGTCCACACCAAAGGAATAATGTACAGAGCCATCGAAGCAGACATTGGTATGTAATTGTGAGGGTCAGTTTGCCTGTCTGTCATGCAGCTGTGTGAGTGTCTTACTTTGCATTCCAGGTGCTGAGCAGGGGCTGCGTGCACCTCTTCCAAGTGCCGTGTCAGGACCTTGTGTCCTGGCATCTTGGGCCTCTCCTTCTCTTTGTTCCAGAACTTGACATAATTCTAACCCAAAAGGAGGGAAGCTGGCAGCTGTAGCTGTCTGGTTTTTTCCACTTAGACTGAGGAGGCAGGGTCTTTGTTTCTGAGCCACTGGGTACCCATGTACCACCTTGAATCAAGCTTACTTAAGACTTTTATTTTCCACTGTGCTTAGGACAGGGCTGGACCCGTATGCCCCGTTTAGTAAGTACTTGCAGTTTGATGGATTTCATGCTGAATCTATGTGAATTTTTCTCTTGCTCTTAGAAAAGTACATCTGCTATGCTGAGCAGACGCGCGCAGTGTTGGCCAAACTGGCTGATCATGGCAAGAAGATGTTTCTCATCACCAATAGCCCCAGTAGCTTTGTGTAAGTTGTTCTGTGTTTCCTTGCTGGCTTCTGGCTCACTTCTTACATTCTGTTTATTTTAGCAGCTGGAAATTGGAAAGATAAAGTTGCAAAAATAATTAACCCATTTAATGTTAGTTCAACCTGGCTGACTTGTTGTTCTAGGGACAAAGGGATGAGGTATATCGTTGGGAAAGACTGGAGGGACCTGTTTGATGTTGTCATCGTTCAGGCCGAAAAGCCAAACTTCTTTAATGATAAGCGGAGGTGAGTGTCTGTCTTTCTAGGGGACTAGATTTTATTCCTTTGTTACTGAATACATGAATACATATGTAGTATGTCTTGGAGAAATCCATTTGCAAAATCATAAGCATCTGTGATTATAGCTTTTGATTTTTAACTCTTCTAGCAAGTAATTGCCAGGGGGTTGAGATTAGTATGTAGTAGACAGCTTGCATGTATTCAAACTGTTCTCAACTCAGCTTGGGCTGCTTCAGAGCTATGAATAAAGCTTTACAGAGATGATTGACAGTGATGAAAAATCCAAACTTATCATCACATAGTAAATTAAATCTTTAGATGTAGGTGCATCGTGAAGCATAAGGAAATAGCAGCAACAACAACCTACCTAGTGGGTATCTCTTTAAATAGCTCTAATTGGTGCATTTAAAATTGCAGTTGGATTTTGCAGAACTTCTCTGTAACACAGGTTTTACATCAAGTGGAGTAAATTTCTACCACATCTTATGTAAGGTCTTCCTGCCAAGTAGCTGTGGGCAAAGGGGGAGCAGGGAAGTTTTGGGTTGTGACAGTGACTGAGGTGTGCTGTTAGTATTTAGTGGGTAGGGGTCAGGGATACTAAAGTACTGTATCATTTAATATGTGGGACACACCTGTTCACCAAGAGTTGTCCCTCCCATCCCCAGTTGTCCACAGTGTTGAGAACTTCTGCACTAGGTTTCTAAAAACAACTCATATTTGTATAATAATGGCCTATTTGAAACACGTTGACCCCAGTTTATTTGTTCTGCAGTTGGTAACCAGGCAGCCTTTTCCTCTGTGTTAGGTGGTTTAAAGCATCACCATGTGGTGCCTGCAGTTAGTGCTGGATGCATTAAATTCCTCTTGTGATGCTGAGTTCCAGTTTTCCAAGTGTCACAGTGACTCCTGGAAGAAGAGGGGCACACCCAAGAACCTTGAGCAGAGACTGAAAAAGGCTGGTGGGATTCAAGAGAATGCAGGGAAAAGTAGAGGATGATCAAAAACAGCCATGAGCACTGGCTTGCTGCCTTGTCACTGGCTGAACCTGTGGCTGCAGTTGCCCCAAAAGTGATGGCAGGGGCGTTCCCCTGAGGGATGGCCCCAAATAGTCATGAGATGGGGCTGGTTGGGATTCCAGAGAAAGAAGCACTGAACGCCAGGGTGATCAGTCCGAAGCATTTGTTAGGGGCACTTGCTTACAGAGGGGGCTGCAGCCGTCCTCAGGAGGGACGGTGAGAGGAAATGCTGTTCTACCCAGGCATGTCCACAGCGAGGGGTCAGGGAATGGGGTTTACATAAGGGTTTAAGGAATTTGGCTCAGCGCTGGGGCCCATTTCTTTCAGTGTTTTGGGCAACACCTTAACTGGTTCCTGAGAATGTTAAGGCCCTGGCTTGGGTCCAAGGCTGCAGGGAAAAACTTGCAGCTGGCCAGTCACAGAGAGGTCAGGGCACTCTGCTTTTGCAGTTAGGACAGAGAAAGAAGGTGGGGCAGGGGCCCTACAGTCACTGATTAAATGCTCTCACACATTTTCTGCTATATTCTGGGCTGTGGTCAGGAGATGGTCCCCATCTCTACTTTCACCAGGGACCTCCTCTCCTCTGTCATGTTTATGCACAGTGGAAGGGACCGTGTCCTGGGCTCTTCCCTGGGGGTGGGGTGGGGAGGAGTGTGTCTCAGCACAGCTCTCCCCACCTCACTGTGCAGTTACTTTGCCTTTGTTCTGAATGCCTGGAATAAGAGCTGAGTAATCCTCCGTCTGTGTCCATCCTTGTATTTTTTATGATAATGAGAGGTCAGAAGCAACCTATAGGTTTGGGTCGCTAGTTAAGCTCAGAACATTCATATGAAGGGGTGTTAGGCAGCCAGTAAAAATGGCATATTTGGGGGAAAAAAGCAGAGTGTTTTATTACTGTAAAAATGATGTATTTAAGAATATGTAATCACATGGGAAATTGTTCACAATATTAGAGAAAAGAGATATAAATCAATGTACACAAAGTAAGAGAGCCTTATGTTCATAAAAAAGAGAAAGATATAACAGATTCTATATAAAAACTGAAAGATAGATACAGAAATGTTAATGTTCATAACTGGGTACTGGAGTTACAGGTCATTTTCCTTTTCTCCTTGTATTTTTCTGCATATTCCATGTCCCACAGCGAGTTTATATTTTTCTAACCAGAAAAACAATCCAAATAAATGTCACCTTAAAAAAAAAAAAAGGCAAACAAACCCAGAGTTCAGGGCTGGCACTTTCAGGGTGAGGAATGAGGCTGTGTCCCTGCTTCCGATTTTCCATCGTAAAATAGTACTCCTGATCCTCTAATTTGTTTTTTATCTAGTGTGGCTGAATTTCAGATATAAAGCTGGATAAATGTACTAAGGCAATATTTCCACAAGCTTTCTGTTGTTTTCTGCACAGTCAAATACATTTGGGAAATCTGGGTTAAAGAAAGTTTCTTTATAGCAGGGCTTTTCAGAACAATCAGTAACTTGTTAAGAGGGACATATGTAATGCATAGTATCTTCCAGATTTATTTGACCCTGGAATTCTTTTTTCCCTAAACACCTTTGGTTACTGGAGTCTGAACAGTTTGGGCTGTAATGCACTAGGCCAGGGAATGTGGTGGTGGGGTTTTGATTTCAAGGGTATTTTAGGTTTGTGGAGGGAGCTGTTTTCTGCCACCAGTGAGCAACTGTGTAGCATTTCATAGAGCAGATGATCTGTGCTACCACCATGCGTCATAATGTTTCCCATTTCTGTTGTTAGACCTTTCCGGAAGGTGAATGAGAAAGGTGTCTTACTCTGGGATAGAATCCACAAGTTGCAGAAAGGCCAGATTTACAAGCAGGTAACTCATGACCAGTTTATCTTTTTAGTTGCTTTGCTTTGTGGTCAGAATAATGATAACAGGTGACATTCATTGAGGCTACCTGTGTGCCAGGCACAGTTCTGAGTGCGTCCCTTGAATCGCCTGTTTGTAATCGCCTGTGGTAAAACTTAGGCTTATAAAGTCAATATGTTTTCAAGATGCTAGGATCTAAATTAACTCAGAATTGAACAGTTTTTTAAAACAAAGTTTAAAGCTTTACTCTCATAGTGCATAGAATTTAAGATGTTAGTGGTAAATCTTAGAAATTTCTCTTTAAGGAACATTTAATCATGGCATGTGATTCACCCAAATTAGTAATTATTTCCTGATGAGATGTATTTTATGTATTGCTTTAATATATTTTGGTGTCATATAAGGCTCTATAATGTTTGAATGAATGACTGAATTGCTGACCATTATTACGTTACTGAAGTTAGTTTTTTTTTAAATACTGATACATTCTTGGTGGGTATATAATAATCTGCTGGATTTAGCTGTAAGTATATTTTCTAGGCCTTGAAAACTTGGTCTTGATACAGCCATTTCACTTGCCTAAGAAAATTATTAAGATGTTGCTAATAGGGCCGGCCCGGTGGCGCACTGGATAGTGCGCCGCTTGGGAAGCACAGCGGCGCTCCCGCCCGAGGGTTCGGATCCCACATACAGACCGGTTCCCGCTCACTGGCTGAGCGAGGCGCAGGAGCAACACCGAGGGTTGCGATCCCGTTGCCAGTCCCCGGTCCGGTACGGGGGCAACACTGAGGGTTGCGATCCGTTGCCGGACCGGGAAAAAGAAAAAAAAAAAAAAAGATGTTGCTAATAGGGCCGGCCCGGTGGCGCACGGGATAGTGCGCCGCTTGGGGAGCACAGCGGCGCTCCCGCCCGAGGGTTCGGATCCCACATACAGACCGGTTCCCGCTCACTGGCTGAGCGAGGCGCAGGAGCAACACCGAGGGTTGCGATCCCGTTGCCAGTCCCCGGTCCGGTACGGGGGCAACACTGAGGGTTGCGATCCGTTGCCGGACCGGGAAAAAGAAAAAAAAAAAAAAAAAAAAAAAAAAAAAAAAAAGATGTTGCTAATAAAGCTTTGCTACAAGAATGTTTATCATGAAATTAATTACAAAATGGATAACAGCATAAACATTGAAATAAACGTCTGACATTAGGGAATTAGTAAAATGAATCATGGCAGTTCTCCGCTACTGTAATTATGTATCAGATTAATATTTATTTATTCACATTTATTTTTTGGCATCTGGCTGGTATGGGGATCCAAACTCATGACTCTGGTGTTACTAGCACCATGCTCTCCTGCCAGCCAGATTAATATTTATTGACATGGAAAGATGTATATAGCATATTAAGTGTAAAAAGATATTTACAAAGAGGTATATACAATATGAATACTTTTTGAAAAGTACATTTGATGTAGAAGAAAGATCTGGAAGATTTCCCATGAAGGTGTTTTTATCTTTATATTTTGATATTTAAAATTAAAAACTTTTTAAAAAAAACAATTTTTTAAAAGTTTTAAAAAATAGGTATTTTGGACCGTAGGTTGTACAGGTCTCTATCTGTCATATGATGTAATATCTATATTTTTCTCTTATTGCAGGGTAATTTATATGAATTTTTGAAGCTTACTGGATGGAGAGGATCGAAAGTGTTATATTTTGGTGACCATATATACAGTGACCTGGCGGTGAGAAGCCCTTTTTTCTCTTTCTTTGTTGGGGACAGATGTGTTAGTCCCACTTATTAAGGAATTTCTCTTTTGTTTAAGGTTGTTTTATGCTTTCATAAAAACCAGGCCACATTTTTTTTATCTCTTATTTTTTGTAGAACAAGATGGATGGGAGTTGTGAAAAAGATAAGTTTTTGCAAGTGATAGAAATTAGCAATTTATTTAAAGAGTTTATCAGAATAATCTTTCCATTTAAAAAATGAGGTAAATGCCAATGTCCTTTCCTTTTCCTTTCATCAGTGCATCAAAAAACATAATGAAATCCATCTTCAAAAATTTGTCACCATTGGGAATATTTGAAAGAATGTGCTTGTAGGTTTTCGTGTGTTATAGGAGAAAGAGAAATATTGAAAGACTTAAAGAAATTGAACCAGTGAGGAAGGTAGGCATTCTAATCCCTTACTTAGAGCTTAGGATTCCAGTTTTAGGTGAGTAGCCAGATTAAACCTTTAAAACTAAACCAGATACCACTTTCTCCTTAAAATCCCAAAACCTTCCTTTCTCCCTCAGAGTAAAAGCCTGAGACCCTACAGTCGTCTGTTTGATCTCTCCTCTTGGTGCCTGCCTCTCTAAAGATAACTCCTGCCTCTCCCCCAACCCTACTCTGGCTGTAGGTTCCCTGCTTTTTTGCTCCTTAACATCCCCTTCCCCAGCATGTTCCTTCCCCAGGGCCTTTGCACTTGCTGTTCTTTCAGCCAGAACCTTTCTCCTCTCACATATTTGCATACTTTCATACTCCTTCATTTTAGATCTCTGCTCAGATGTCCCTGTATTAGCCTGGTCTTCCTAACTACCCTATATAAAATGGTAACATCCCTGCCCCAACTCCCTTTTCTCTTATTCTGCTTGATTTTTATTCATTGTGTTCATTACCACCTGCTATTGTATATTTACTTGCTTTTTTGTTGTATTTTCCAGGAGGGCAGGGATTTGTCAGTTTTTATTTATTGCTTTATCCTCAGTCTAGAACAGGGTCTGGCAACTACTAGGGCTGAATAAATATTGCCAAATGAGAAAATGAATGACTATTTGATATGAAGACTGACTATCTTAGACTTTCTGGGACATAACTCGTATTAGATATTCTGGCCTATTGTCAAATCACGGGGTTATAATTTTTGGAATGAGATATGTGATCATGTGTGCTTACGTTGTATGATCATTCAAATCTGAGATTCCTTGGTTCTCCACAACCCAGAAGGCCTGGCACACAGTAGGTGCTCTTCAGAGGTCTGTGGAAGAATTGAATGAAGACCTTTGCTAGTGTTTAGGTTGAGCCTCTTTCTGCCCTTGACCTCATTTATTTTTTACAGACCATAGTTTATGATTCCAGACCTGGTATTTCTGCAGGGACTGTAACTCAACAGCAATTATTTATGGAACAGAAACTTTCTTGGGGCAAAATGGTCAAAGCCTGGGGCTAAGTTGGTTTTAATTAATGTTATTCATTGAATTTAGCTTGGTTAATGACTAACCATTACAATTAACAAGTAATTAAATGAATGCCTCTTGTGTCTGGGAAAGATAATGAAATGGTTTGAAGTCTGTTGAGACTAATGTTAACTTTTTGTGATCTTTGTGATCAGGACTTGACCTTAAAGCATGGCTGGCGGACAGGTGCAATTATCCCGGAGTTGAGATCTGAGCTCAAAATCATGAACACCGAGCAGTACATCCAAACCATGACCTGGCTACAGACCTTGACTGGATTATTGGAGCAGATGCAGGTTTGGGATTTTTTTTTCTCTCTCACTTTTTCTTTAATCCTGAAGTTAGTCCACTGGTCAAAGTTATTTCAGATATTTTCTGTTTAATCGTAGTTATAAAGTATGAGGTTTAAGTTGTCCTCAGTAGACTGTAGAATAACTACTGGGATTATTTTGCCCCTATGACAGTTTGCCATTTTCTCTGAAGGGTCCTTTAAAAATGGCCACCACAGCCATTTGGGGAGTCTTTGTGAAACCTTTGTGAATGCAGCTGTTTATGTTCCTCTGTCCCTGAAAATCCAGTTTCCTTACCTCCACACTAAGTCACGTTGGGAGATGTCCTGTGGGGTAGTGGGATTTGAGAAGCTCTGCCTGTGTTTGGGTCTGGTCCTGATTCTGCCTTTAGCCTGCTATGGGACTTATCCATTCTGGGCCTCGATTTCCCCATCTGTGAAAGGAGTGGTCCTGTGGAATGAACACTTCAGTCTAGGCACCGTGGCTTACTGGAAAGAGTCTCAAAGCAGGAGTGAAGATCTCTGCGTGCAGCCTCAAATTGATTTTGAAGATAATACCTACAATTTACAGGCGTCCTGGAGTTCAGGGGCAGTTTTTTCTTTCTGTAAGTTACGTAGCCAGTTTTGGACAGTTAGTGAGGAACATCGTTTATTGGTCATCTCCTTGCCTGTGCAAGCTACCTCTTTGTTGCAGCTGTGTGACCACCTTACTCCTCCGGGCCCCTCCTCCGTTCTTGGTCTCATGAGCTACCTGGCTTTCTCCCTCGGTTCAGCTCTCCTGGGCTGCTGCAGCTGCCTCTGCGTGAGTGCCACCTCTTTTAGACTGAGGAGCACATATGCTCGCTCTCTTGGCTAACACGCCTGCAGCCTGTGGCCACGGCCCATTGCCCATGGCCCTCTAGCCAGCTTTGGAAATGGGCAGGGAATTGCCTTGCCTGCCCCAGCTGGCAGCCTGGGTGGAGGTGGCTGGCGGTGAGCTGAGGCAGAGCGTGGGGCCCTGCACGTCCCCTGGGCCTTGTTTCCAGGATGCTCTGGCTGCTTTGGTTCTTGGCTCTTCTCTGATAAGGACTTGTTCTGTTTCCCTGACTATGCTTGTCTGCGTGATGATTTTCTAAAAATATAAGGCCTGAATTGTGGCTTAGAGTCTGTGCATATGTCATACAATGCTAATAGTTATTCTTTATGTGTCAGATGTTGTGCTGAGTGCTTGCTGTATACACATTATTCATTGAATTTCCCAGCTGTCCTGGGCGTGTAGATACAGTTGTTCCATTTTAGAATAAGGAGACTGGGATTTCGAGAGGTTAGATGACATGTCCAAGGTCACAAAAAGACAGAGCAAGATGTGAGCCTAGGCCTGCATCATGCCCAAGTCCAGGCTTTTGAGCTCTACATCCAAGTGCTTCCCTGGTTCAGAGGTGTCACATGTAGCCAGACTTTGCCTCAGGTGCAGTCTTTCTGTGACCCTGGCAGCCAGTCACATACACAAACACAACCTGCGTGGAGATGGTATCACGAAATTTTAGCTTTAGGAACAGTTCCCCTCACCCCCCGATAGGTATAAAGAGTTTGACGATGAAGGAGTTCGTGTTTCAGAGAGTGGAAGTGCTGACCATGTTTCTGTGATTTATAAAATTAATTATCCGAGGCATAGGATTAGGGAAGGAAGAAAAGGGAATTAACATTTACATCTCCACCCTGATTTTACAGGAGAGAAAACTGAGGCTGAGAGATAAGTAGCTTTTCCAGAGTCACAAAGTTAGTGAATGGCAGAATGAAGCTACGTAGGAATGGAGTGAGAACTTAGTGTTCCAGACACTAAGGGCTTCATGTTCATCTCACCTTCATGTTGGCTCTTTGCAGTGGGTACTAAAAACATTGCTGTCCCCACTGTACAGTTGAAGAACCCGAGGCACTGAGAAGATAACTTGCTTGATTAAGGGCGATGCCGGGACTCAGGCCCCCGCAATCTGGCTGTAGAGTCCTAACCTCTGGGCCGCATCGCCCTGGTTCTAACACCTTACAGCGTTCTGTGGGGCTCGGCGCACTAGGATATCGAGGAGTGTGGCTGGTAGTTTAAAAATATCCAAATGATGTCATCCTTCATAGTCCTCCTGCTGCCCCCTCTTCCTCAGTGTTCACCTGGAAAGTTGTAATTTATTCCATTGATCCTGTGTCAGATGTTTCGAGAACTCCCCTTTGGGGATTATTTTCAGAGCACATAGCACATTATTTGGACTATTTTCTGAGGAGAAAAATTTGTCCTCTGAGATTGGATTTGATTTGTTTTTTGGAGCCAGCAGAATGTCATTCGGAGCCAAGTCTGATGAATTAAGTAGAAGTATATAATTTTTGGTTTTAAAAAAGTGGCTCTAAAGCATAACAATAACCTTGTTACCTTGTCCTAAAGTGTGTTCCAGAATGGTCGTGGTTAGTCGTGGTAGTGCTGGCGTAGGTAGACTCTTCCCAGGTAACCAGTCAGAGGCCACCTTTAGACCAGGGCTTGGCAAACTCCTGCAAAGGGCCAGGTAGTGAATATTTCAGGCTGTGCTGGCCATAGACTCTGTCGTAACTACCCAACTGCACTTGTAGCACAAAAGCAGCTGTGGACAGTGTATGAGTGAGTGGTTGTAGCCGTGTCCCGTTATACTCCATTGGTGGACACTGAAATTTGAATTTCATATAATGTTCACGTCGTGAAATTATTCATTCGATTTTTTTTTTCTATTTAAAAAGGAAAACCCATTTGTAAGCTCATAGGCTGATAGAAAAATGGGCCAATGGCTGGATTGGCCTACCCTGGTGGAGGCCATCGGGCTAGCTAGGTTGTAGTCTCCTGCTCAGACGGGTGGGAGGGCCTGTACAGTGCATGCAGCCAGTCTCTGTTTTGGCTCAGTTCTGCCCATGAAGAGCCAATTATGCCAAGTAATAACCATTCAGGATAAAAGTGGCAGAAGTGCCTGTAGGATCAGCCTCTGGTGTGGGCTTCTGGTTAGTCTTTTCCAAGGTTAACTAACCATGATGGAGTGCATGGTTTCATTTTAAAGATTAATTATAACTAATTAACATACACTGTCACTGAAATATTTTAAAGTAGATTTCAGACATCTGAGCCTGTTGTTTTATGAAGTTTGGCCTTATGCGGGAACAGAGCTGGAAAAGGGTAGGCTCAGGGAGAAATAGTCTTTTTGTTTTTGTTTTTTTTTTTTGAGTGGGAGAGACTTGAACATGTTTAAATACTGATGTGAAGGACCCAGACGAGGAGGTTGTTCATCTGAGAGAGACGCTGAATGACAGGAAAAGGTTTCCTGGGAGGGCAGGCGGGAGGCCAGCCCAGAGGGAGGCTGGGTGAAGGCACAGACCCACAGAGCTCAGGTGTCCCTGCTCTTCCCTGGCCTCAGATTTCTGAGGCCTTCCTTTGCATGTCCCTACAGCAGCCTTGGGGTTGGGGCTGCTGGAGATGATTTGTCATCCTTGGTCATCCTCCGAATGTAGGACCAGGAGAGAACCAGGGGCAGGTGTCAGAATGGGGTACACGTACTCTCCACTCTGTCCCTGGTGAAGCTGGACTGGAGAATGTACCTTGAACTTGGAAACTCAAGTTGGCTCTTCAGTCTTCAGAGCCTGCTCTGTAGGGTGTGTGTGTGTGTGTGTGTGTGTCCATCCCACCTGAGGGGCAGGAGTGTACACTGTAAGAAAATACTGTAGACTGGGTGGCTTCAACATCAGTGTATTTCCCACAGTTCTGGAGGTTGGGAAGTCCAAGATCAAGGCACCAGCAGACTCATTGTCTGGTGAGGGCTGGCTTTACCTGGTGGCTTCACATGGCTGAAAGAAGGGTAGAGAACTCACTGAGTCCCTTTTACTAATCCCGTTCATGAGGGCTCTACCCTCATGGCTTAATTACCTCCCAAATGTCCCACCTCCTAATACCAAATGATAATTGACCACAGCCTAATAAATGGAGGTTAGGATTTCATCAGATGAATTTTGGGGGAGTACACACATCCAGTCCATAACAGGGAAAGAGTAAGAAGCTGGAAGCTTATCCTCCCTGCTTAGGTGAGGACACAGGTGCCTAGTTCATGGGCCAAGAAGGGTATGGAGGCAGAAGCAGGGGTGGGGAGGATGGGGGTTCCCTCCTGCGGACTGATACCCATTTCTAGATGGTGTCAAACTGTTTTGTCATGGTCTTTCCCCCACCAGGGCCTCTGTCTTGATCTCTGTTATATCTTCACCATTTAGCACAACGATGCTTGGTACATAGTAGGTGCTGAATGAATACACACACACACATAGTTTTATTTATTTTTTAAATTTTTTATTTTTTTTCCTTTTTGTCTTTTTTTTACTGACCAGTAACGGGATCGCAACCCTCGGTGTCGCGCCCGTACTGGGGACCGGCAACGGGATCGCAACCCTCGGTGTTGCGCCCGCTCCGCACTCAGCCAGTGAGCGGGAACCGGTCTCCACATGGGATCCGAACCCTCGGCGGGAGCGCTGCCACACTCCCAAGCGGCGCACTCTCCAGTGCGCCACCAGGCCGGCCCCACACATAGTTTTATATATGTCTATATAAATTCCTGTGGCACCTTGCAAATTTTCTTTTCTGATCTAGTTGTATACTTTGTAGAACCTAAATTCTTTAGTGAGTAATTTGTTGATTTAAAATGTGAAAGCTAACACCAAGGTCAAAGCTATAGATCCCCTTACTGGACCAGCCACCAAAAAAAAAAAAAAAATGTGAAAGCTTATTTAAAATGTGCTCAGAGAACGTACATCAAAACTCCCAGCAGTGCCAGACTGATCGACTGGTAATACATAGCCAGTGGTTATTCAACAGTAACTGCTTCTTGGTGGTGTAGCCAGTGGGATTAGGCAAGAAATCCAAATTATAAGGTCAGATGAGACAAGGTTTTTGTCTGAGCGACAGAGACCCTTAACGGGTGGCTGTTTGTAGTCACGCTGTTGAGCTGGACAGATGTGATAAACAGAAGGGCCTTGGCTCCCACGTCAGAAGCAGATGGTTTGCTTGTTTACTGTTCCTCTGGGTTCTAAGGTTACCCCTGTGATCATGAATTGCAGGGAGCCCCACCTGTCTCTTGCGGTCATGTGCACCTCTGATTCTGGCTGCAGCGTTTCTGTTTGGCTACAAGAATCTTGGAGAGAGACTTGTGAGATTCCCTTTGTTAGGTGGTGGGCAATTGTCATTTTCTTTTTGCTTTTTGCTCACATATTGGCTCACTGGAAAATTCTCTGCTTTTCCTTCTTGTTGATGTGTGCTACCTTCTTGACTTGCAAAGATTTTTTTTCTCTTAAACACCGAAAAAGATAATATAATATCAAAGAAAAAATTAAGACGATTTATAATTCTACTGCACTTGCACAAATTAAAAAACATTTTTTCCATGTTAATTTCCAAGTGTATGCACATATTTTCACATGCTTGCAATTAGTGGGTGCTGTTTCCAATTAACTGCCATTATGTTTATACACAATTACATAATATGTGTAATAGGTAGTATGTATTAAGTATATGTTTACATTATGTAATACATATGTGCAATGGATATATTATACACGTGTATTATACACATATTTTATGTGGATACATGTGTGTTGTGTTTATACATAGCAATTACTAATAGTTTAATAGCTTTATAATATTCCATCTTCGTTTGTTAAACTACAGTTCTAATGTTGGGCATTAAAACTATTTTGTTTCAGTGAAGAAGGCAAGATTTCAACTGGATGTCTAAAAATGTATTATATCATGCAAATGCCTGCCTCTTAGAGTTAAAGGAATAAAATGCTTCCAAGAAAAGCTACTTTTTCAAAAATTCTTATCACCTAATGAGTTTATTTGAAACTAACATGGTTGTAATAATTGGTTTGTGTCCTGTAGGTTCACAGAGATGCCGAGTCACAGCTGGTTTTGCAGGAGTGGAAAAAGGAGAGAAAGGACATGAGGTAAGGGTGGCCTGTTTTGAACGTGACTCCACCATTCTGTTCTCTGTGTTCAGCCTTCACACGTTCCCTGGAGCCAGCTCAAGGCATGATCTTGAACCATCCTCTGTTAGCTCTCAGTATCCAGAATCAGCTAGCTGTTGCTGTTAGTGACGCACGGCATTACTTTGAGGCCAGCAGGGACCCTGGACAGACCTCTGCCTTTGCCACCTGAAGGCCATGGGAGAAGGAGCTTTTTCTTTCATTCCTCCTCCCTGCCTGCTTGACTTTTCCATTTGGGCAGCTGGTGGCCCAGTTGCTGGTAATGCTTGCAGCACAGTGTGGCTATTGGGACGGCGGTGGAGGGGGCTCTGAACCCATGTGAATTCTTATGGCTCCTACAATCCTGATGCTTATTTGTAACCCCAACTATTTCAGGAACATGCACACAGTCAGTAATCAGAATGTTAATGGGTAAAGAAAGCCCGCCTGCTGTCAGAAGAGTCTGGGGTGTATGTGTCTTAAGGAACACTTGTTCAGAAGGGGCCTTGGTTTTTTTTTTTTTTTTTTCCTTTTTGTCTTTTTTACTGACTGGTAACGGGATCGCAACCCTCGGTGTTGCGCCCATACCGGGGACCGGCAACGGGATTGCAACCCTCGGTGTTGTGCCTGCACCACGCTCAGCCAGTGAGCGGGAACCGGTCTCCACATGGGATTGAACCCTCGGCGGGAGTGCCACCACGCTCCCAAGCGGCGCACTCTCCAGTGCGCCACCAGGCCGGCCCAGAAGGGGCCTTGTTGACAATCATGCTTCCCTGAGAAGGATGCTTTATGTGTGGATACTGTTTGCATGAACATTGCTTCTCTTGTGCTTGGCCCTCCCTATCCCCTGGTCACAGTCATCTCTGAGGTTTGGAAGCATTGCTTGCTGCCTGGTTTCTGGCCTCACTCGAGGGTGGGCATATGGGGGGAGGGGAAGGGCTGTGCAGAGGGGACAGTGAGCCCATTCCTCAGCTTCTGCACGAGCCGAGGCTGTATCGCCTTTAGGACTCCTCCCTCTCAGGGTGTTGGCTGTCTGAATCTTTACATTGGTATAAAAATGCTGGTGAGAAGCTGATGGGGAGGGGAAGGCATGTAACGTAATTTGACTTTGGACCCCTGGCCCCTGAAAATCAGACCTGGGTTTGACAGGGACTGTTCACCTCCAGGAACCTCCAATTATTAGACAAAGGAAATGTTTCAGCTGTCAGAGATTTTGTGTTGAATTTGAATCTCTCTAACATCTTCACATCTCAATGAGATTTTTCAGCAAAAGTTTAAAAACCATTTATGTTGTTCCACCCACCGGGACCTAATTGGGTTCTTTTAATTTTCTGCTTTTTGGTTATTTGTAATATCTACCATCACCATATGATGATAGACTACTGCTACCAACTAGTGGCTTTTATCACACAGTTGTGTAAATGATTTTTTTTTTTTTCTGCTACATTTGTAACTAATTCATCTGCCATCCTGGTATTTATCCATTTTGCTGGAATATTTTGTGTGAAGGGATCCCAGCATCAGAGGGCATGCATGTCCTATGTATGTGTGACAGTGATGTTGATTTAGTCACATGCACATCCTCGTGTGTGTGGCTGCAGGGGGCTGAGAGGCTTGAGAGGGGTAAACATCCTTGGCTGCTAGGAGGTGGTGGATGTTTGAAGCTGCGTAACAGATGGTGGAGATTACATCACTATAAAATAATCCTCATTCCTCAGGTTTCAGAGTGCTCTAGAGTTTACAGTGTGCTCTTATTTCTCTTAACTTAGTTCTCAAAATAACCTTGTTATAAAAAAAGGGGGGGGCGGTCTTGATCCCATTCTGCAGCGGAGGGAAGTGTAGACTCCTGAGGACGTCCCACAGCTCTGTGCCTTCAGAAGCGGCTCCTGCAGCCCCTGTTTTGTTAGGAAGCGTGGTGTGCATGTTTAGAGAGGCATGCGTGGAAGCTGGAGCCCTGAAACAGTGTTCCCTTGGCTGGCAGAAGTGGGAAGTGTAATCAGTCACTGTGATCGATGGATGGAGACACTTTTCTTGATTAGAAGTTGGGGCTGTTGTAGGCTCATTTTTCTCTCAAATGAGTCCTGTTTTTTTTTTTTTTTTTTAATGTCTTGACTTCAGTAGTTTAAAAACAAACCGTTTTGATTCATTCTCTGTTGCTTTGCTTTTTTCCCTTGCTCCTTTAGGGATATGACCAAAAATTTCTTCAATGCCCAGTTTGGAAGCTTGTTCCGCACTGACCAGAACCCAACCTACTTCCTGAGGCGCCTGTCACGGTTTGCCGACATCTACATGGCCTCCCTGAGCTGCCTCTTGAACTACGATGTCAGCCACACGTTCTACCCCCGGAGGACTCCGCTGCAGCACGAACTGCCCGCGTGGTCTGACCAGCCGTTGGCCTCCCCTGCCCCGCTCCTGCGGAAGGCCCAGGCCGAGTGACCCAAGGCCACTGTGGAAGACACCAGAACAGCCGCAGTCCCAGATCGGACGGACACGACGGGGTGGACTTTGTGTGGGTCTGTTTGTGTGGGTGCTGCTTTCTGAAAAGAGACGAATGTGTATGCCTTTGGATGTTTATGTCATACCTTTCAGAGAAGACTCCCCAGGTCATTAAGACAGGAGCTGGCGATCCCCCCCGACCCGGCTTCCTGCTGAAACTTGGATTCAACCTTTTTGTTTCCCGAAGGCTGGAGCTGACCTCAGCTTTTCTGCTGTAGGTGAGACCAATGGGTGCTGTCTCCCTTCCAGCAGGCCACGTTTGGAAACTCTTTATGACTCCTCCATGGACTGCTCGCTGGTATGCGTGAGGAGCTGCAGGGCACAGTGACACGCAGAGATAAGCTACTTGCAGAGAGCTGGTGATGGTGGCAGGACGCAGCTGCACATAGCAGAGATGATCCCCACACGGCAGCCACTGTCTGAGTCATTCGGCACTGAGGGTTGGCATTCCAATGCGTGGTGTCAAAGAGCACCCAGCCTTCCTGGAAAGACTTCCATGAGAAAGGACAAGAGAGGTGGCAACCGCTGGATGCTTTTCTCTTTGGTGTGTGCCTCCTGTGCCTGCTGGGGAAGGCCACAGGGGCACCAAGTGACAGCGAGTTCCCTTTTCCCAGGGTAGGAGGGCAGGGAGAAAAGGGTTCGGGTTCACATTGTTTTCCAGCTAGTGGAGCAGCCTTCCTAGAAAGGAGTGGATCAGAAGAACCTGAGCAGTTGCAGTAGGTTTCCCAGGAGCATTTTCACCCTGAAGCGCTGCCTGAGTGTTGGTTGAATGTGCTCATTGGAAGAAAGAAAATGAAACAGGAAAAAATGTCCTTGTGATGAAATGCCACTCCATCAGCTGGTTTGAATTGGAATCTTATAAAAACATGTGCATTACCTGAAACAGGCCTCATCTGGAGGGAGACACAAGGTGCGTGCTTCTCTCTGATGAATTATCAACTGAGAGAGAGAGAGAGGTGCTTAAGTTCAGCGGGGGAGGAGCGGGGAGACATCTCCAGTCCTCTCCTCCCCTTAGATTTCTTTACTGCTGTGTTTGTGTGGCCGCTTGGGAGTTGGGTGTTTCAGGTGGGAGAGAATGAAGGACATTGCAGTTAAAAAGAGTTAGAAGTGACCTAGCTAACTGAGCTTTTTAATTTCGTTCTAAAGGCATTGCAAGTGATATGTATTCTTTGTTTTTTGAGGAAGAATCTTTTAGTACATGTGTATTTATAATATCTTTCAACATAAAGTACATATTTACTGCACTGAGTGCTATAGGAATGTCTGTTGTTATTAGTTACGGTGCTGCTAACAATATTTTAATTGCACATGCTGCATAAATACTTCTGTTCAGATTAGCCTAATCTGTATTAGCGTTGTATCGCCAAAACTCATTTTAATCTTTTTTATGTAACATGGCATATATTCTTAAATCTAAAGATGGCAGGAACACGAAGTGGGCTTGTGGAGAGTGCTTGCTTAGGCAGAATTTTTATTGTAAGAAATGTATCATGTCCAGCTATTGACAAAATGCTAGCTTGGCATTCCATGGGCTACTGCCGAAATGCAGAAATCAAATGAGTTATATAGCATCCTCTGTAAAGCCACTTGTTATAATGGCATTTTACTTGTGATATTTTGTTGTATTTGTTTATAATGGTGAAGGTGATCCTTTAGACCCAATTATGCTCCTTTTTTTTTTTCCTTCTACTTTTTCTTATGAACACAGGTAGGCACAGTAATGTGTTCCTTTTTTGGACTGGGGTAGGTGTTTTGTTGTTTTCTTCCAGGTGTTTTAACCATCAGAGTGTACCGGGGACTGGCATTTAATGGGTGCAGGTGACACCCAGAACTGCTCAGTGTTGGGTTCTAAAAGTATGCTGGTGATCTTGGCTTATAATTTCTGCTTTGGAGAAGCAGAGTGAGGAAGCAGGTATTTTTAAAAAGTTCTTGCTTTTTATTGAATCAGATATTCATTGGCTATCTGCGAGGTACCAGTTACAGGGTGTTTTGTTTACTCAAGAATGAAGTAGAACTATTTTTAAAATCTACTCTTGTGAATGTGTTTGTTAGGTGACCTAAGCCTTGGGGGAGAAATATATTTTCTGGGCATGAATATGAATTTTACAATTTTTTTTCCCATTTAGGAGGGTTTCAGTCTCTGGGCCATTGAGCTTGGCAGTCTTGAAATAGCATCTGTCACACTAGGGCCTGCTGACTATGGACCTGGTGACTGCATACCCGTGCTACAGCAGCACATGGGGCAGCACGGCCATCTCCATATGAAGGACAGGGTTTTCCCACTTCATTATTTATCCTGTCTATGCTCAGTCAAGACGGCTTTGTGCTTGTCACTGTCATGACTCTTAAGTGGATCTGGCATTTTGTTTTTTCCACTTGGTTCTCTGGTGTGCACGTTGATGAATACATATTGATACAAGGGAAGTGAATCCGTTTTCTACAATTTAAAAAATCAATTTGTAATGCAAACAATAAAATTAGTTTGGACATTTAAAAAATTACTGTTTTTAAGATTACTTGGACTTTCTCAGAATTACGTGAACAAAAATTCATCATCCAGGGGCATTCCACACCTGCTATGATAGTGCAGCAAGGCTCTTGGTACCCATGGCAGGTCCCCTTGGAAAGGACTCACCCAACTGGTTCTTTCCAGAGTTGCTTTTACAGATGAACCGTGGCTTTGAAAATATTTTAAGTGTTTGTCTTAGAGCTCCCCATTGCATCCTGTACAGAAAATATAGGAAAATAGTCAGGGCCCCTGAGATGTTCAGAATCTTGCCCAACATTTGATGTAAACACTGTGTGCCCAGGTGTTCCTTGGTTATTGTCTAATATAACGTGCATGTGCGCCCAGGTGTTCTGGATTATCAGACTTAAGTATAAAGAACGACTGGTTCTGATCCACAGCGCACCTCACCCCTGGGATGCCCTTGGGGGAGCTACGGGGAAGCTGCCACCATTATCGCTGCTGCTGCCGCCAAGGAAGCTGAAGACTGAGCTCATGTTGTATGCCAGTGGCTCCCGGGATCTTTTCCCAATTACCTAGCATGGGCCTGCGTGTGAGGGGTCTGGTGACCCAGTCTGTTCAAAGGGTTTGAAGGGTCTGTGGGCCCTAACCCCTAGCCCAGACAATACAAATGGAAAACTTAGTGTAACTAAAATAATGAAACATTTTGGGTTTAGTTATAAATTGCTTAGCCATATAATTGGCGTAGTTACTTAGCAATATACCTCCTAACATATCCTTTTTCTTTTCTTTTTTTTTTTTTAGTTTTTACTTGAGCTCCATTTTCTGCTATCACCAGTAATACCATGTAACAAACCATCTGCTACCGATTCGGGCATATCTCAGACGAAATGACTAGCTGCTTTGAATGGGCTGGCTCTCTTATTGCAAAGGAGAAATGAAAAGTAATCTTGCCGCCTAACTGTAATTTAGCTTTGGGTGAACTAAATGGCTTTTCTTCTCTGCTTCTCCCAAAAGGCCTTTTCAGCAGCAGAGAGCAGGCTAAGAATTCTCCTTCGCCCAGCGAATGCTCATTTGCTGCCGCTCACTCACTCGGGGGCCCTTGTCTAGAATGCTCTAAGACTAAACTTGGCCAGACACAGGGTTCCTTGATTGCTCTGTTCAGCTACTAGAGCCTGTGTTTTGTCCTTTTAATATTGATTTCCTTTTTTGCCAATTTCCTTTTATTTATTTTTTGCCTTAGCATTTGGGAGCTTGGCTTAAAGTTCAACTCACCTTTGACACCAGCAGCAGGGAAGGGGGAGAAGTTTCTCTAAGGCAGGGTTGGCAAACTTTTCCCTTAAAGGGCCAGCCAGGAAATAATTTCAGCTTTGCAGGCTGTTTGTTGTTGTCGCTGCTCTGGGAATGGGTATGGCTGTGTTCCATTGCAAAACGATTTACCAAAACCAAACAGGTGTGGTTGACTGGCCCCTTCTCTAATGGCTTGTGTTGGTGGCGATGGCAGGATTTCCTTGCTGAGAACATGTAGATAAATGACCTCATGGCTTGGATGCAGGCAGTAGAAAGAAATTCTGTAGGCAAGTGTGCCATGTCCCCTTAAGAGCTACTTTCTGGGCATATATGCGTGTATGGCCAGTGGTAAAATACCGTGTGTCCAGCACAGGTCATAATCGCTTCATTGTGTGTACTTGAGCTGCCAGGCTCTGGTACTCATTGAACATACCTCTCATTGCACTAGTTTGTAACTGTGCTAGTATTGGGTGCTGGGCTTGGCTGCCCAGGTAACCTCAGGACTGAAGCACTTACTCCTGCAACTGCTGGGGTGCTGCTGGCTGACCTTTGCAGCTGTCAGTCCTCTTTGGGAGTTTCCCTTGATGAAGAGCCCTGCCTCGCCCCAGGTCATGCTCCCTTGACTGCTCCATGCGGAGGTGCAAAGGCCTGGCCTCCCCACCCCTACTCGAGAAAACTGTGTAGACAATCCCAGCTCCAGAGTTCCCACGCCTCCCCTCGCCAGTCCTGCTTCCTCCCCTCCCTTCCCCTTCCCAGGTGCGATCCCAGCAGCACTCCCCCTTAGGTCCTCTGTGGTAGTGCTTCTGTACTTTTCCAGTCCTGCAGGCTTGACCTGTGACTTAGGAGATGGTTTTCTAATTATGTAGTGCAATGACAAATTGTGTCTGTCCATCAGACACAATAAATGCAAATTAGGTAGACTTTTATTCTGAATGTGAATTTGCTATTTATTCTAAATGTTGATTATATGTGTTATGTGATATTGAACTTATTGCCAAATAAAAATTTGAATAGTATCATCTGGTTTATTGTCATTGATCTGTTCTGTGTCCTTAAATCAGTGGCAAAACCAGGTTCAATTCTAAGGAATCCACAGTGTTGTTTTCTAAAAATGCTTTCCCCCCCAGGACTTAAGGTTATTTCTTCTAAAAGAAATAAAGGAAGTCTTGGACTTCAAAAAATTCTAATGAACCCAAAAAAGAATACTCCAGAGAGAAGAGGCAAAAGGTTATGGCTTTTTTCTCCCCACCCGCATCTTATCCCACCCCCAGCAAGCACACCCACTTATTTTCGGGGCTTCAAGACTGTAGTTAAGCCACAGATGGAAACTCGGCATGTGCAGCCTCAGGTGGGCAGCGGTGACCACCGTGGTGCTCTCCCATGCGGAGTTCCCTCCTTCAGAACAAGGAGGTTCACATGCTGGTTTATAACTGAATTACCGGAAAAGCTGGAAATGTTTTCAGGAAAGGAGATGCATAATTAGGAGTAAGTATTATGAAGTCAAACTGGGTTTTGGATAAATTTATAAATATTTTTGAAGGCCTTATTTTTTAACTTTTTAAGTGTGTGTGCTTAACATCTTAAAATCTTCACCCTCTCATCGTGCTGATACCTTAATCTTATTCATTCCCCCGAGATATCTTGTTTTTTCCCTCTGCTTTTGATCACTTGCTTTTTTCTACCTACAATGGTGGGTGTTGGTGGACTCACTAGGGGGTCTCTCCCACGTCCTTTTCGAGGGGTGATTTCCTGGAAACTCAGCATTGCTCCCATCATGGCATGTCATCCAAGAGGAAGTGATAAGCTGCTTCTGTGCCTGAAACTGAGGGTTTTCTCTTTAATGGAGCTGTGAAAGAGCTTATGAGACACTCCAGGGCTTCCAGAACTTTGTACGTGGCTTAGCAAAAATCCTGACGATGTGGAATGAAATTATTTGAGTTGTAAGGGCAACAGAGAGGAGATCTGAGGTTTCAACCCAGCTAGTACTGCCCCTGAGGGACAATTTCACTCTGTCTCCAGCTGTGATCCTCAACCCTGGCTAGTACTGCGCCCTAGGGACAATTTGGAGTTGTGTGGATGGGTGGGTTGGAGGGTGCTTCTGGCATTTTGATGGCAAGGACCAGGCATGCTAGGCTTCCTACACTGCATGGGAGAGCCCAGCCTGCGCAGGGAGGAGCTGTCCCCCATCTACACATCCTTGAAAGTCCTGCCAACCTTCATGTAGATGGAAACCTGTTTATAATTTTCTAAGCCTAGAACTTAACTCTGTTTAACATGTAACCGTAAAGAATTTTTTTTTTTTGCATTTACAATTTGTGGTATATTGTTGAATATAAAGAGATGCAATCAGTAATGCTAACAATCAAATTACATCATTTTGCCTCCCTGCTTAAATATGATGAAAGAATACATATTTTAGCAGTGATTGTTTCAGTGTTTAAAAACTTTTATAAATCAGTATAAATGAATATCAATTGTACATTATGTCGAAATAATAGTAAAAAAACTCCCACAGTGCTGAGTTATGATTTACCATTGGTTCTATATATTAAGTGTGTGTTCAAAGTGCAAAATGCAGCAGTGATGTTAACAGTGACAGTGTAATGAACTGCTATAAGCGAGACTGTTATGTTTAATTTCTTGGAAAACTGTAATGAAATTTCACAGGTTGAAAAAAGAAACAAAACCAAAAAGAATTACAGAACTGTTACTTTTACATAAGCAGCCAGATGAAGAAAAGTTTTTCTTTCTAAAAAAAGATTAAGAATGTAAAAGTACATTTTAATATTAAAAAAGCATTTTTAAAAATCTGTAACTTTATGACAAAATCTGCATTTGAAAAAGGCCCGTAAAAACAGCAGGATAGAATTGCCCTCATTACCTTTTACTTTTTCTTGTCAGAAAATAGAGCATGCATCTCTGGAACCATAAATGATGTTAAAATAGGCATTTATAAAGTGGCAAGGAGGATTTCGCAGGAAATTTCTGGGGGTTTTCTGTTTTTGTTTTTCTTACAATCATTGGCATTGTAGCCATCAGTAGGTCACAAGTAAAACTTCTCTAGCTGAAAAGCAGAATGGAATATAATGTTTTGAACTGTGTTAGGTCTGTTGCCTGCGTTTTGCTGATCTCATTTTTTCAAAGCGTGACTCCATTTCTTCTAAGACTGTGGGTGTATATCGTACTACTAATTTAACCTTTCCTTGAGCGGCTTTCAGCAGTTCCACAGCTTTTTCATGATGTTCTCCTTCAGCGCTCACTCCATTAACAGAAAGGAGTTGATCTCCTCGTTTCAGACCCCCATGTCTATCAGCAATTCCACCTGGAATTATTTGAGATACATGAATTGGAGAGTTTTGTTCTTTGCTTCCCCTACTATTGAATCCAAGTCCCTCTTCTGTTTTTTTTTTTTTTTTTTTTTTTTTTTTTTTTTT